GATCTTTGTAATTTTCACTGTAAATATTCTGTTGATAATGGATTTGCGAAATTGCATGTTCCTATCTGCATAAGTGGAGGAGTTATAACGAAAAATTTCATATCTGAACAATCAGTTGTATGGGAGCTATATGTTATAGTTACCCGATGTTTGTAATTTCCACTGTAAATTTCCTGTTGATAATTATTGAAAACAGTGCGAAATTTCATGTTCCTAGCTATATAAATAGAGGAGTTATAACGAAAAATTGTATATTCGAACAATCAGTTATATGGGAGCTATAGGTTATAGTAACCCGATCTTTGTAATTATCACAGTAAATATTCTGTTGATAATGGATTTGCAAAATTTCATGTTCCTATCTGCATAAGTGGAGGAGTTATAAGGAAAAATCTCATATCTGAACAATCAGTTGTATGGGAGCTATAGGTTATAGTTACCCGATCTTTGTAATTTCTACTGTAAATTTCCTGTTGATAATTATTGAAAACAGTGCGAAATTTCATATTCCTAGCTATATAAATAGAGGAGTTATAACGAAAAATTTTATATTCGAACAATCAGTTATATGGGAGCTATAGGTTATAGTGACCCGATCTTTGTAATTTTCACTGTAAATATTCTGTTGATAATGGATTTGCAAAATTTCATGTTCCTATCTGCATAAGTGGAGGAGTTATAACGAAAAATCTCATATCTGAACAGTCAGTTATATGGGAGCTATATTTTATAGTAGTCCGATTCTTCCGGTTCCGACAAATGATTAATACAATTTAAAAATAGACCCTCTTACCAAATTTCATCCGGATACCTTGAAAACTGAGAGACGAGATTGCATACAAACAGACGGACATGGCGACTCAGCTCGACGTTCTGATCATATAAGTATACATTTTAATGGGTCTATCTCTTTTTATTCTGGTACTTACAAACTTAGGACCAAAGTTATAATACCATTTCATGCTCATGAAAGGTATAACTAACACATATGTACATACAAATGTATGTGCTGCTTTCTTTGGTACTATAAAACAGGCCTTCCCAAAGTGGGTGACGCGGTACCCTGGGGTGCCGCTAGTGGCTAGAGTATACTAGTGGTGCGGACAAATTCTTTAGATTTTCCATACACAACGCAAACTTCAACATGGCGGCCAGAAAATCAAAAATTTTAGATTTCTATTAAAATTACCTTCAGCGGCTCGTCTAACCCCATACACAACACAAATAGCTTGCAGCAAAGGGATATCTCGCTCTTAAGCGTAGTTTCCCAGTACGTATTGTCAACGTAAAATTGAATTAGAGAATTTACAGAAAAATAGCCGAAAATGTACCCTTTTCACAACCACTTTCGGTACTTTTGTAGACACAATCCGCGTTTCATCCACTTTTCTTCCCGTTTTTAGATTAATTTTCGGACTTTTTGCTGGCTGGGCTGTTCTCGTAACAAGCGCAGCAGCTTCGCGCAAGTTTATATATTACTTATTCTTTGGAACTTCACAATCACACTGTCAGAGAGCGAATCAACACGATTTTAGAGGCAGTCTTCTCGTGTTAGTGAGGTACCCATTCGCAATGCAAATCGAAGAAGAACGAAGTACTTCAGACTTACGCCACTAGCGACGAAATTTTTAAAGCTATCGACAAATTTGTACAGAACAATGGTTTCAAATGGAGCAAGTGTGCGGATATTTGCGGTGGTTGGAAAAACGAAAGGAGCGATGTCTACGATGAAGCAAGATGCAGAAAATGCCATGAGAAGTCACTGTATGATCCCTCGGTATTTCCAGGCGACTAGGAAGATGACACTACTAGATTTTAAACCCGTGTTGGATGACGCTGCGAAGATAACAGAGGCCTGCGAAATTAAAATACATCTTTGGTTTTTTTAACAAGACGAGATTTTTTTTTTATACCCGAGCGCACTTGTGCCCTAGGGTATATTAATTTTGTTCACATAACGGTTGTTTGTAACAGCCAAAACGAATCGAGATAGATATAGATATAGACAAATGTATACATAAATGCTCAGAATGAATAGAGAAATCGATTAAGCCATGTCTGTCTGTTCGTCCATCTTTCCGTCCGTTCGTGTACACGAAAATTGAGATATCTCAACGAAATTTGGTAAGTAGGTTAATCCAAGGTAGGTTGGTATTGAAAATGGGCAAAATCGGACTGTAACCACGCCCACTTCCCATATAACGGTAATTTCCAGAAATACGAAAACTGCGGTATTACCTCTCTCCCACGCATAACACCGTTGCGTCAATTTACAGTCAGTCGGAATCTTATCGCTACTTATAGAATACGCATCTGTTCGCGGCAATCTTATCAAAACAAAGTTTCCCTTCTTAATTTTGTTTACAAGTTAATAATTATAATTTAAGTGGTTTATTCTAATCACTGCATTTTAACATAATTGAATTACATCCGGTTTCACCAGCAATTTAAATGGAAAATTTTTTCTTATTTTCTGTCAATTTCCATGTAAAATTCAAAAAATTTAAGTCATTTTTCAATTAAATTGCTTTCATGAAATTGGCATTGAGGAATTGAAATGAGCAATGCTTTTTTTTATGAAGAATGTTACTCATACGCCCTGTATGAACCCTGCAGGGAAAACTACTAGTTGTAAACTAGAATTCTACCAGTTTGCGTTTCAGCCCAACTATTTAGTTCACGTTCTATCCTTTTTCAATGTAAGCAACTGGTATTTTTAACATTGCGATGTCCTACGAGATGTCAATTGTCAGGCTATGCATCAGCATCTACTAGTAGAAATACTAGTAGCATCATACCAGTTGATGAGATAGTTTGCCAATTCAACCCATATGAAAAGCATTAGTATGCCTTTTTGCTCGCGGCGCTCCAACAGTCGCAATGGCCGACAGAACAAAGCACTCGCGTGGTATGCCTGAGGTACCAGGTTCAAGCCCTGGTGCAGGGAAATGTTTTTATATTTCTTTTTTTTATATTTTTTATTTAGGGTTTTTTTGTTATTCTTAGATTTAATAAAAATAAAATATTTTTTTTTATCTATTTTTTTATGGCACAAGTATTTCTTCCCATATATTTGTTTCTTTTTTTTTTGTAATGCAACTAGATTTTTAAGTTTGTTATTTATATTTAAATTGAAATAATTATTCCTACTTACATTGATCTAACTTTAAAAATCTTAACTACCTCCAAGCGGCCTCGAACCTGCGATCCCAGAACCAGAACCAGTAGTCTTCATGTGACGCCACAGCCGTCATTTGTAAGAAAAGCAATTATTTGCGTTTTATTTTAGGCTTTGGCAATTCAAAGGCAGATGTCGCTGAACGCTTAATTTCTTCGAAAATGTCGAACTGGTAGGCACATACTAGTTTATGAACTAGTATATTTTCTAACTGGT